TAATAGTAGGCTTAAGGTAGGTTGTTGGACTCTTTTCCTTATAAGGAAGTACAATTAGTACATTGTCTCCAGATGATCCAATGGGGAGAAAGGAAAAGGGAGACTGATCCGGGGTATTTCTGTCCGCACTTAGCAAGAGAGAAATAGGACAAACTGGTTTGGTTGGTTACTGTCTTTCAGATTGTAGAAGACTAAGTGATGTAGAGTTTCAAATCTGATGCTCAGAGTGTGTGTTAGATGATGTATCATTCAACTATCATGTGATCAACATAGAGCTGAAACTAGAAGAACTGAAGATAAAATATAAAGCTATTTGCATAGACCTTGCAAGTTGCAAACAGCCAGGTAGTTAGTAATGTGACCTCACAATGCAAGACACACCTCAATTTAGAAGTCCCCCGCTTTGAAGCTCATAGATTGGTGACACAGTTGAACTATTATATCTATGGTTGAACTTCGAGCAATAATTGCAAATTTCAATTGCATTTCTGCCATTCCAACGAGACACCTACAGTGCGTGACCTCACCCCTATATCTGCTATGGTGCATGCCCTCACTGCAATAGCTGTTTGATTATCAGCATGAAGAGAGTCTGCTCAACACTAGCTTCCTACAGTTACATGCACTTGCTTTTGAATACCTGCAGAAGTAGTAGCACTGCAGCACATACATGCAAGCAGCTCCAGCCCCTCCCATGCATGTAGATTGAAGGTGTGGCATTACATCTCAACGTGTAACTGCAATGATGGCAGCAAGAAGTCCATGCAAAGCGTCTAGAGACAGGAATGGATCCAATTAGTTATGTGGGTGGTTTTATATCTGTAATACCAAGAGTAGATCTTGGTAATACGCATGCGCATTACTCCCTCATGGACAAAAATCACAAAATACATGCCGTTAAAGACAGGAATGGATCCAATTATTTGCGTGGGCGCAATCTGCGCATGCGCAGTACTGACTAAATTGTACTTTAATTTATAATGTTCATAACCAAGAGTAGATAATTACTTAGGGAGAGTGTCTAACCGCCATATAGTAGCTGAAACATCACCGCGTAGAACTAAGTCACGTGAGTCCCGAGACACAATGCCTGATGCTGAAGATTATTAGAATTCTACCATGCCTAGTTGTAATTGACCAATCAGATTGCTTGGTTGTAGGTTCATAAATAACTAACTTACCTCTGATTTCCCGGGAGGTTAATAAATAATTTCCCGGGAGGTTGAATAAGTAGCCCGGGAGGTTGAATAAGTAGCCCGGGAGGTTGAATAAGTAAATTCCCGGGAGGTTGAATAAATAATTTCCCGGTAAATTAAATAATACGATTAATTGATTACATGTGTATTTTAAATTATAGTTTTGTGTTATTTGGTATTGTTTTAATAGTTTATAGTAATATTTGAGCAGTTAGAGAGGGTAAATGTAACAGTATCTGCAGTTGACCTTTTTTTGCTGGGAGGTGGCTCATAACTGTTTTCCTTATCTTCAACTAGTGCAACCTTTCGTTGATATTCTTTGTTTAATACTGATGAAACTTCTTTTTCTTGATCTTGAGATATTCGTTTGTAGGCTCTAATGCCATCAATACTGCGATGACCAGTGCGATCCATAATCAATTGTTCATCTGTTCCTGATTGAAACAACCTTGTGGCTGCTGTCACTCTTAAAGAATGATTGGTTTTAAAACCATCGATATCTGCTGAGTTACAAAGCCTACGAACGGTCTTTGATAAAGTATTGTGGCCAATAGGAATGTTAGAGTACCAAATTGAACCTGTAGGTTTCTTCAAAGGAGTCAAATAAAATGCGTTAGTTGTTCTT